AATTTGCATACATCAAATATTTATGCTCTAAAATTAAATTCAAGCTATATAAATGCAATGTATGTGGAATATATAAATGTAGACCTAATAAAAATCTACTTAATACCAAATACCTATTCAATGAATATCAACACATTACATATCAAAAGATTTTCATAATAGTTACATATATGATTTAGTTACATTCAATATTTAAATGTTAATATTTACCTTGTTGCAAGAAAAAAATCATTTAATAATTAATATTAGATTATCTGGAGATATCTTCAATAATTTTTGAGGAACCCCAAAAAAGGGTATATGCTTTTTTTGAAGTCCATATATTTGTTATTTCAACAATGAAATATGGGCCAAATGACAAATACAACTTCAGTCTGTTAATACACAAAATACAATGTAGGGATGCAAGGCAGGCACGGTGGCTTGTGCCCATAGTCCTAGCTACTTAGGAGGCTGAGGCAGGAGGATCACCTGGACCCACAGATTTGAGCCTGGTCTGGGCAACAAACCAATATCCCATTTCAATAAATAAAACTATAATGTATTAAAATTCAGAGTGAACTGTCAAGTTGAAGGATTAGTTTTTTATTTCTACTAGTTTATTTCAAATTGTATCTGAAGGAAGCTTCAAAGAGAGATTCCATCCCTGCCTCTTTGGAATGCAGGCCCTGTTCCTTTCCCTGGATACCTGCCTCTCCTCCCTTCCCAGGGCCACAGACTCTTCCTACCCAGCAGAGCAGAACAGGAAGGCATGTGGGCGACTGGCCCTAGCATCCTCTGACAGCGGCCCATGTCGGGGAGGAAGCCAGGAGCTCGGGAGTCGAGGCCACTCCTCTTGCAGAAATACACATTCCACTGAGATTCCACACTACAGCAACGGCACAGCCAGAATGCCATGGGGAAGGATTACTAATTCAGACAGGGAGTGAACAGCGAAGTAGAGGTATAAGGTGTACATTTTGGAATCAACACTACTGATGTAAAAGACTGCACAGCTCATTAAAAAGAAGATACACACCGATATTAGTCAATACGGAAATTCGCAGAATTAGTGAAAAACATCAGTCTATATTTGACTCCAGTGGATGCTCATGCTCTCCATATGTGCCTTTACATGGTACCATTTGCCCAGCTGCTTATCACGGGATGAGCAACCTGCTACCAACTACCTAATGCCTAGCACCCACGGTCCGACACCTGATGCCACAATCTGAGTGCCCTCGAGGTGCATTAACTGGGGTCCAGATGCTGCTGCTAAGCTTTACCTCCCCTCACCCACCCTGGCCCTTGCTATGGGACGTGAGAACATGAAAATTCTCGGGTTTAAATCTCATGATCACATGCACTGACAGTACATTTTTTTGTATTTTGGTTATGCAAAATAGGGTGTTTAATTGTGATAACACATGAAAAACATACTTTGGTGTTTAATTGTGATAGCACATGAAAAAATATATGAAACTATTTTTTTTGATCAAGGAATGATACTAATGATTGAAAAGTGGAAAAAATTCTATGATAGGAAAAACTTAAAGGGATTTTAAATAGCTTGTGTTGTGCTCTCATTTTAAGTAAAATATGCATATTAATGGTTAAAATTACTGACAAAAATATAACAAACATAAATTATAGATAAATATAGCAGTATAATTCAAGTGATTTAAATTTTGTTCTTTCTATTTACTTATATTTTCCATACTGTATGTATATTTCTTTTTACAGTAAGAAACATGGCTTATCTTCAGGTTAATCAAATTTATGTATCTGCTTATATTGCTAAACCCCTGTGGCAGAAAGGAATCTTATTATTAATTGTGGTACTGAGAATTGAAATCAGCACTCTCACAGTGAGCTGGAAAGACACCCATCCCTTTATATTTTTTATTGTTTCTTATTTCTGAGGTGGGTCACTAAGTCACCAAGTTCTAGGCTATGACTGAACTTGTGATCCTCCTGCCTCAGCCTCCCAGAGTGCTGAGAAAACAGGTGTTGCACTGCGCCTAGCTAGACATGAAAACGTCCACTTTGGATGTGCATTACTGAGCACATTGATGCTTTGGTTGAGCATTTCAGACCTCTGTTCCTGGAACCATGTGTTCCCAGACAGACCACACTGAGCTTGCAGGGGAGCAGGTGGGGTGGGGCAGGGTCCTGGCATCTGGCCAGCACGTCTCCTCACACATCACCCCTGATGCGAGCTGTGCCATGGCACAGGCAGCCACCCATTGTTCAGATTCCTGTCCCCAGCCTCCTGAATGTGATCCTCAAACCTCAACAAAATAAGCCATTACATTCATCCTGAATAATTATCTCCCAACAGGAAAATCAGGAAGAACTTTCCAGATCCAAATGCATAGAGGATTAGAATATTAATATTTTCCCACAAAGAGAAAACACATGTTGAATATGAGGAGCATGCTTGAACTTACGGTTGCTCAATAAAGGTGACAAATTGGCATCCAATTCCAGAGGTTAAACAAAAGATAATGGCACTAAAGAATGGTCTGTATTTATACTTAACTGTGTCTAGTCTTGCAACATTGAGAATATGACCAATTGAGCTGAAATACTAGTGAGTAAATTGCTGCCTGACTAATACTTTCTTTACTCTGGTAGTAAAATCCTTTTCTATATTTTCCTCGTACGTTCATAAAGACTTTATTGGCTACTTTCTTAGTGCACAGAATTGCTGGCTGGCAATTTGATCAATGTGATATCTGGTGCTTATGGAAAGCTAAGACTTCTATACGAAAGTGGGTTATTCTTCTTTAGGTGTTGATTCATCAAGAGAACCAGGCGACTGCAAAAGAAAAAGGTAAGGGCCATGGAGTCCCAGAACTGAACCTGGCCTCCCTAACACGCCACCTGGCTCTCCATTAAAAGGTTTGAGAAGCCCTAATTTATATGCACACGCTCTTCCTGTTGCTTTATGTAATATTAACATTACGAATATAAATAACTAAGAAATGGAAATTCTATCTCTCATGAATTACCCCATCAGATGTCACCAAATTCATCCCCGCCATAGATGTAAGGGCTTGTATTTAGGTGAAGAAGAGCTCATGAAAGTGATTTCGCTAAACTTATGGAACAAGTATAGAAAATAATGACTCTAATTTGAAAATGAAGATTCCAGTTTTCAAAATTGCTTTAAAAAGAATAATAATATAGTTCTCATTTGAATGTAAGCTTCAAAAGATTTTTTCACTGCATTCTCTCTAGCATTGAGGACAGTGCCTTACAGATGTTAGCCACTAAATAACTTTATTTTGTTTGGGTTTTTTGAGGGGTATACTGGAGATCAAACTCTGGTTCTTGCACTTGCAGGGTAGGCGGCAGTACCACTGAGCTAAATCCCTGGTTAAATAACTATTTATCAAATGCGTAGTGCTCTGTAACCTTGAATAAAACTATAAAAGTTTAGAGTACTTGATTTCCAAACTCTTCTAAACTCACATGGTTTACCTGCTGCGGCAATTTACAGTATGTGTAGCCATACATTTTATAACTGCACACAGCAGGAACCTGGGAAGGACAGTTTGGGTATCCACGTACTCCTAGCGCCAGCAATGTCTACATGCAAACAGTCAAACGGGTCAGAGAAAAGCCACAGTTGCATCTTAATTCATCTATGATCCTCAGTGACTAACTGAGCAACACATATCGCTTGAGTGCTGCACAGCGAATAATGTGCGTGGAACAACAGAAATGCAGATGAGGACAGGCGAGTTGGGATGGTGAAGAGAATTAGCGTACACACACGCCTGTCATCACCTCTGGTAGTTGGGGGACTGAGCCTAGGTCCTCAAGCATGCTGGGCAAGTGCTCTGTCGCCCTCTATGGTTTCCACTAAGGATTATTTGTATTGCCTCTAATCCTCTTCCTGTTACTTAGTTCAGAGCCAGGATAGGTGCTCTGTGTGTTGTGCAGCAAGGAACAGTATCCCACCCACTGAGGGTTTAAAGCAGAAGCTGAGCCTGGCAGCTACGCTCTCACCTTGACTTCATCTATGTTGTTCAGTTTCCTCTTAAAAATGGAGATGAAAACCCTTAGTCGAGGAGCGTATTATAAAAAACTACAGGAAAGTGTGTCTGAGCAGTCAGCCTGTGACCAACGGGGTGGTGACGCTGGGGTGCTTCTGCCCTGCTTCTGCGCTAGGCCTGGGCCGCTCAGTTTCTGGCTGCAGTTCCAGGGGCGCTCCTCCTCCTCTTCCGCTCCCCACCCCCTTTCTCCACCCTGGTGCAGCGCTACAGCCTCATCCTGCAGAGCCCCAACACAGGCAGCGCTCTATGCACTCTGCCTTCTGGTTGCCAAAAAGAGAAGCAGAATTCAGGGTACAATTTCAATAAAAATCCAAGATGGCAAACATTTCTGCCAGCATCACTTCAATGGGGGCAACTTGCAGCACTGTGTATGCATTTTAAAGAGCTGGATACCATACCTCAAAAACCAAGTACTGTATCAGCACCTCACAGACACTTGCTACATCTCTACTGGACAGGATTATGATTAAAGTGGTACATTTAACTGAAGAGCACATTTTAAAATTAATTTCATAGAGTGAAGTGCTTATTGATTATTAATTCTTACAAGTCAAGCATTACTTGGCACTTTTAAGATCAATTCATGCTAGAAAAATAATTTTAAAGTTAAAGTACTTTAAATGTATATTACTCTGTGGTCTTTGTGACATGGAATAGACACAATGTTGTCGTCAAATCACTCAGGCAAAGGAAGTGAAACATGGAAGACACTATTCAGAACACTCACACTGGCTGTTGAAAATGATCTACAGTTGTGATTGACTTTTGAAGTTTGATCAAAATGGATCTGTCCCATTTAAAGGTACTGGCTCTTTATGCCAAATCTTACCCTGGAATTACATAAATCAATTTATCCTGGACTTCTGTGAAAACAGGGGTAGGGGAGAAGTAATTTCTGAGTTGGCAGTGACTGATAGATGCTCGGATTTCTCCGTTTTTGTGAAGGGAGGGTCTTACCGTAGCTGTCATAGGCATCCTCACTCACTCCGTGGCTGTACTCATAGTATTCAGGCACACTGAAACAGATGTAGACAGCAGTCAGTGTTACCACAGGCAGGTGGATGCGACCCAGAAACTCCTGTGGAACTCAGTCAAAATGTGTGCTCAGGTAATATCCCAGGAGCCCTGGGCACAAGACACTTCCAAAGAGATGTTCAGCGAGAAAAACACAAGTTATTGACCAGAAGTGCTATGATTTTTTTCATGCTACTTCGTCATTTCTTTACCACTGTCTTCCAATTTGATAAATCAAGTTTCCTCTAAAACACAAGTATAATACTTCAAAATTTCTCAAGAGGAAAGACATAGGGATCCATTGCCAAGAAAAAGTGCTGCCTAAGTTGACAATCTGGTGAAATGTGGATGGCTTTTAATGCTGTTACCTTGAAAATACACATTGCAAACATTCGAGCTGTCATCACACCCCCCATCACTGCCAAATCCCCTCCATGCACTTTTCAAACAGATCAGTGATTTCTTTTCAATCATTGATTTCCTAAATACTTCCACATTTCAGCAGCTGTCAAAAAGTGCTCTTTTATCTATTTGTTACTCAGAGCATACCTCAATCCCCACCCACCTGCCTAGGTTCCTCAGTCTGTTCCCCTCTGAGGCTTCTTTCTCTCAGTTCCCAGACACTTGACTGTGCTCCATGCTGGACACACCGCCCTCCCATGTGTCTGCCCCAGTGACACCCCTTCTGTGCCTTCCAGCAAACTCACTGGGAAGAGGTGAATCCACAGACCCTCCCTCCACAGTCTGGAGGCAGCCAGCCCGGCTGTTGTTCCCGCTGCTTCTCTAGTCGGGCTCGTGACGTTGTCAGTCAGTGGACTTTAATACCATGGCACACTGTTGGTCATTCCTCGTCCTTCAGACTCTTGCCTCCTGAGACCTCTTGGGGTCTCTAAACCCACATCACCTCTGTGTTCTTCTCTCCTAGTTCCTTCCCATCTTCCCAGCCAGCTGACCCTGGATAGCCCTGGGACCCCACTTCCACAGACTTCCCCTGGGCTACTCACACTCGCTCCCCAGGTGGCTCAACTGATGCTGCTCTACTCTGAGGACTTCCAAGTTCCACCTCCACCCTCAGCTCTGCCCACTGCTCCACTCCCATGCACCCCATGTGCATTTCCATTTGGATAGAGAGCTGCACATACCCAAGTACAAAAGAGTCCCTCATCTTTCCAACTTAGTTCTATTCCTTTTGCATTCATCACATCTTTATCAGAGACTCCACCTTAATTAGTGCTTCTTTTGCCAAAAACCATGGGATTTTCTCTTTTCTCTGAAATCTAATGTTCAATTCAAACAGAAATTTTTTCACTTCAGCTTCAAAATATATTTATGACCTGGACATGGCTAAACAGAGTCACAGCCATAGCTGTGGTTAAAGGCTACCAGCACCTCTCACTTTAATGAATACTGGTCTTGTGCCTTGCTTGCTGTTCTTATTGTCCTCTGAGAAGTCAAAGTCATTTTTTATAGGTCTAAATTAGATCTTCTGAGTTCTTTACTAAACACACATCAGTGTCTTTTTATATCTTTCAGAAAAAAAAGAGAAAAATTCTAATTTGCCTATGTAGTTGGCTTCCCCAGTGTGTCCAGAGTCCCCTCTCTGCCACCTACCCCTTGCCCACTCAACTCTGGGCATGCCGGGCACGACATGTTCCCTCAGCATGGCAAATGCATGATTGTGTCAGACTTTTTATTTCCAGTTCCTACTTCCTGTCAAAGTCCTTTTCTAGCTCCTGATTGTCCCTTCTCCTATCCTTTGATCACTCAGCCCCGGAGAGGTTGACTTGCTCCATCTGTGTGAACTACTCCCACATGCATCCTTCAATTGTTCATCCTATATTTCTCAGTCACCATCATACCTGTTATATAAACACGTTATATATTTGCCTGTTTATTTGGTGGTGCTTCCCATGTGTAAAATGTAAGTTCTTTGGTAGAAGACTTAGTCTCTGTTTATTCACTGGCTGGCACTGTCCCAGGCTGATTTTCTGGAATGTTTGCCACATCATGGCTGCTCAAAAAATATTTATGAAACAAAAGAATGAATTGTTTCTAGGAGGATTAGATACTATTTAAGGGAGTAGCCTCATGTAACTGTGTCATAATTTTTAAAAAGTATTATGTAAAAAGTGAGAAAAATAAGTTAGTATTTGGATAAACAATTCCTATATATTTTTACTCTTATTTTGGGATCTGTAAATACATATGTTTTCCCTTCAAAAAGCTCTGTGATTTAAAGCTAGATGTCAGTCAGTTGTCTTCTGTGTGAATCTTAATTCATAAAATATCTCAAGATTACTTAATTCTTTTATTTATTTGTACTTATATGGATCATATTCAGGGCTTCACGCATTCAAGGCATGTGCTTTACCACTAAGCTACACCTCCAGCTTCCATTCCTTTTATGTGCAAAAAGTACAGAAAAAAAGTAGCTTAATATCAAATACCAAACTGTACAAGGTCTGAGTATGGGGTGGATGCCATAGACGGGGGAAGGAAAGAGAAGAGTCTGAAATTATGTTCTCTGATGTAGTAGCTGTTGGTATTGCTCACAGAAATCTCAGATGTCTCCATAGATTAAGTATTAAAACCTTCATCGACAGTAAAGGAACAAGAAGCAAATAAGGGAACAAAAATCTACATATTAGGGGTGAACAGAGAGAAGTTGGATTATCTTTATCTTCCTGGGATGCACTTTATAGTGCAATGATTTCAGTTTTCATATAAAGAAGCTGGGGAAAAAAGATTACATAGTCCAGCCCTCCTTGCTCAGAATATTTACATGCAAACCGTGCAGTAAAAGCACATGGTATTGGATCTTCTCCCCATCCTCCTTAAAATTGCACAGGGCCGTGCCATTGGCTGCTGGCTGAATGTTTATGTCTTCTTTCACACACTTGTCTTAATAGAAATGATTCAACCCAATCCAGAATCCTCACATGGATGTAGCACAGTCCTAAGAATTGTTACATTACATTAAATCCATAGAAGACCACGGAAAAACCATCATGCAAAAATAACTTAATAAGCAGCATTCCTGTTGGTAGGAAAAAGACATTGCCATTGATACCAACTTCTTCCTGTCTTTGTTACAATCAATTTTTGAGTAATCCTCTGATTACATGTCCCAGCATGTGCTGGATAAAACCAGCAGCACCAAGCGCAACCTTGTGATATTATTATATTTATAACTGTATTATAATTTCTATTTTAATTGATGAAAATAAGGGGAAAAAAAGAACAGCAACAAGAAAGACCATACTCAAGAAGCTGCAGTTACTATCAGAATAATACTTATACAAAAGAAGGAATTCTAACTTTCAGAACTCTAAGAAAGGAAAATGGAACCTAATGGACATTTGTAAAATAATGGGTAATGTAAAATGAATGGAAGATGATGGATAATAATCACAATGGACACTATAGACTTCATAACTTTTCAGTATCACTTCTCAGTTTTTCCATGGGAAATGTTTTACTTGGGTAAATAACTTGAAGGTAGTGAATATATCCCTCAACCACCCTTTCAGCTTGATGTACCTCTGTGACTAAATTAGGAAACATGGGATGTGTGCAAAGGTAAGTGTGGCAACCAATATCATTTCTGATTTATGGATAAGCTCCTCATTTTGGACTTGAGTTTCTTCACTTTCATAGTGATGATCTAGCATTTATCCTGCAAACAAATACAATGCCTTAGGGACCATGGACTAAAACAGGGGGACATCTGCCTCTAAATGATAACAGGAGTAGATTTATTCTACACTACTGCTTACTGCCAAGATTGTTGAGACAAATAAGTATTTTAAATATTGTTTGAGAAACTGAATTTTGAGTTTCTTGGTCACAATAATTTGGTTGATCATATAAATTACAGTTCTACATATTCAATATGTAGAAGTGTCGGCTGCCATTAAAGTTCCAAACTATGAAGTATTAACGTAGTAGAAAACCGGAGGGTACTAAGTGAAATAAGATTACAGAGTAGAAAGCAGATGGCTCTTGTTATGCTCTTGCCAGTGACAATTTGAAGGCCAGCAGGCCTCACATCCATCTTATACCAGGGAAAAATGAGCAAAACCCCACTGTTAGTGATCCTTGCTGTTTTTAAAAGGTTTATGAGGGATAAGAGCTCAAATCAGAATGGGACACTCTGCAGGAAGAAATGAAAGTGAATGGAACTTTGCTAGGAAGGCTTTTCTGCCTGATTTTGTTAGTTTTATAATTTAAATTGCTAGAGGGCTCAGAATTTGAGATTTAACAGTATTAGAGAAGTCAGCTGCTTTGTGTTCCAATAGTAAGAGATAGGAAGTGTTGCTTAAAGATGTCTTCACACTTCCCATTGGTCTTTGCTAACCTACATGATTCTAAGAACACTTCTTAGGCCTCCCAACATGTGCCGGCAAGAAACATGCAATAAACATTGTCAAGTCTCCAAGGAAGACACATTCTACTGTACCCAACTCAGATGTGGCATGGATAAGTGGATAAGTCTAGTTATCCAATCAGCGTGAAAAAGGACCTTCCAGGAAATCTGGCACAACTCCCAGAAAAGAGAACCAAGCTTGCCAGATGCACTAATAAAAAAACTTATTTCACAGTTTAATCTCCACTTGGCAGGACTTTGTAGCTGTTGTCCCCACTGTCTGTCCTAAGTTTCCTTCTGCTTTCCTAATGACGGCATCTGTAACAGTCACTCTGCTCTTTTCTGACCACTTCATACTAAATGCTCTGTGAGGGCAGGAAAGGGAGGGTCACAGTGGAAGGGTGATCTGCCTATCATTTTACAGCTTGCCAGACTTCAGTTATACGAAGGCCTAATGTGGTGAGGGCTGCACATTCCCCAGAGACCCTGGATTCTGAATAGATCGAAATGGAATTGCACTTGGATTTTCTTGGATGGGGAGAGATAGGTATTTTTTGTTTTGTTTTTTTTTTTAATAATGAAAGAAGGAAATTCACTTATGTTTATATGACTAGAGGGTTTGGCTATGGAATACTT